CTGCCATTGATATAGATACTATTAGATCAGCTGGGCAAATGAGTTCCCCTACTATTAACTGATCTTCTGCTCCTAACAGTACATGTTGTACCAAAACAAAATATACAGACATGTTCACATAGATCATTAGCTCCTGACACTACAGCAGGGGAGCAATGATTTTCCTCTTCAGAGTTTTTAAAATAGAATTTTAAAACATGTGGCTCTGAAGTGTTGTAGTCCAGGTACTTAACCAGCCTATGAGAACTAGGCTGTACTCAGGGTGGGTATTTATTTGTGATACTTGCTGTTATACTGCTTTTACTGTATTGCAGTGTGTAATATATTGTGTGTTGCTTCTGCTTTTTTGGGCCTCAGAATGTGAAAGGATATAATTTTTTTTAAAAAGGAGAGAAAAGGAAGGGGAGTTTACCTTCTCAGAGAGTTAATAGGTGTGTGGCCTATACAGTTAAGCATGTACCATACATGTTAGACTTTTTTTTTAAAGAAGGGTAATAACTGTTCTTTGATTCCTGCCTGTCTTCCCAGATCATGTTACTGGAGACAGCCCGGCGCTACAATCATGAGACGCAATGCATTACGTTTCTTAAAGATTTTACGTACAGTAAAGACGACTTTCATCGTGCAGGTGAGCTGGAAAAGTGAGGCAAGATGGGGTGGTGTGGAGAAGAGATCTGGAGAGAGAGAAAAAAAAATCAAAGGTGTGTATGGAATGGTAGAGGTTACTTCCAGGAAATTCTCAGCCCACCCCAGAAGAATCAGCTGGCTGGGAGTGATGGGAATTGTGATGTAACACATATGAGGAACGCCAATTTTGAGAAGGTTGCCCTGATGGTATCAATATTTCTCTTACTTCATCCATACATCTCACATCTGATTAACTTCACAAAGACAGGTTTTTGTTTCATGTGTTTTATTAAGTTGTCCAGAAGGGTGGTCTCTGCTTAAGAAAGAGACCCACCTCCTATATACCCACACAGAGAAAAATCCCAGCCGCCACTTTCCTGGCATTTGGATTCTTGAGAAACGTAACACCTTATGACTTTCATTAGGTACAAAAATGATAGAGCATTGAGAACCCAGCATGTGTGAATGCTGTCCCAGCTCTCCATTCCAGAGAAGCTTCTTGCTAGCACAAGTTTTACAGTGAAATTTATATATTTTGGGCAGACTTCAACCTAAGCAGAATTACTATTTTGCCTAGAAATATATAATTTGCATTTTCCCAAAATGTTTTCAGTTTAAAGGGTTCCCACCCAGGCAGGGGGAGATATTATTTTTTAAAAATATGTTTGAGTATTCTAATATATTTCCCAAGGAATAAATCTAGGGAGAGCAAGGATGTATTTCTGGGTGATTGTCCCTATTCCTTGTTTCACACCTCAAGTGAAAGGGTGTCATAAAGATTATTGGGCTTTCATATTTAGTAATAGTTTACATTTGTTTATATCATCCTTTTGCAATGGTGAACCTATGGTATGTGACAAATATCTGGAAATAACTCAGATTTTCCTTTGTATCTTCCGCATGTCTGGTCTTGATTCTGGGATCTTTGCTGTACAGTGAAAAGGGTGTGTTTGTCTCGGGCCCTCTAGTTTAGTTTCTGTCTTCCTCTCTTAAGGTACAGTTGTTTACATGTCACATTACATAGAAATGTTTCTGTATTGGAAGAAAGTTAAACAGGAACTTAAAGGTGTTTGTTCTTCACAGTTTTTCTTTCTGGCTACAGCCACAATTGGTTTCTACATGCATTTGCTACCTTGGTTGTACTGTATGTTGATTTCCAGGCCCAGTTCAAAGTGTTGGCAACTTAATTGTGAAATCCTTCAATCTAGATTATTTATTATAACCTGTTAGTGTCCTGAATTCTGTTGAAGAACTACACCTCACTGCTAGTCAAGGCAGGCTAGTTAGGAGAGAATGTTTCCTCTAGCTGCGGTTGGATCATGGAATTCCTTACTTTGGGAAATCTGTTTCAACCCCTTTCTCTTGCTTCTGTCCGGCTGAAACTTCTTCTTTTTTTAAAATTCTCATAGGCATTTGGTCTGCCAGGTTTTCAGATTCTTTTGTGCCACTAACCATGTTTTTGGAGTGTATACCACTGTCTACTTTCACGAATGTACAGTATTATTTTCTGTTAACTGCTTTATAAAAAGATAGTCACCCTTACACTGAGATTGACTCCTGACTCTATGGATACATTTATAGCAGGGTTTGCCATTGCCATCTTCTGGGGTGTCTTTTCAACTTTCAGGTCTAGTCTACAGCCCAGGAACCCCCTTGTGGTCTCCTCTGCAAATACGAACCAAATTGAACCCTGCTTAGCTTTTAAGCCCGAACTATTAATTTCTCTTACGATGCATTAATGCTTTGAAGCAGTTATAAGCTTGAGCACTGCGAAGGCAGCCAAAGTAGGGTGGGGTAGAAATCCAAAACAGACGAGAAATACATTCGGAGGTCTCAGCATTGAAAGTTAGATGGCATCTGTCTTTCCCTAATGTCCTGTTTCTCTCCGTCTCCAATCCCCTTCCCCCCAAAATCAGGTCTTCAGGTTGAATTCATCAACCCCATATTTGAGTTCTCCCGGGCCATGCGACAGCTGCAGCTGGATGATGCCGAATACGCCCTTCTCATTGCAATCAATATCTTCTCCGCTGACAGGCCCAACGTGCAGGACCATGGCCTGGTAGAGGCGTTGCAGCAGCCCTACGTGGAGGCCCTCAGTTCTTACATCCACCTCAACCGCCCACAGGTATCTGGGTTGGGGGGAAGAGCAGCAGTGAATGCGTAAAGCAAAGGGGGTGGATGACCATCACTGGGTGGAGGAAAAAGGAAACGATCAAAAATATCCTTCCTCCTGGTCTGAGGCCCAAAGCAAAACTCTTGATTTAGCACAATTTTATCAGATTGCAAAGACCACGTTTGACTTAAGCAAACCTTGCTTCGGGTTTCCCCTGGTAAATCTTAAGACAGGATTGGGAAATTAGTACTGTAGCCTATTCCATCTGCTGGACTACGTCTCCCATCTCCACTGTTTTTGTGCTAAGCTGAGCAGGGATGATGGGAATTCAAGTCAACATCTGGAAGGCTGTATTGTAAAGGCATTTTCCTTTTCATCTCAAGTGATTTGGCAGAGCAAGTGATAATTCTTGCTGCACCCACCACCCCTTTGTTTGCAAGGGAGGGAAAGGCAGTTTTTCCTTCCAGCAGGAACTGGGAAGTGGAACAGTCCCTTAATTTGAGGATACATAACTATAATGATATATCTTCTGAACTCCAATCAAGTTTGCTTCAGATTAGCATTAATATTAAGAGTACAAGTGACCACTACAGTTTTAGGCATATTCCTCCAAAGTTGGCTGGGACTACACAACACATTAGACTAGACTCACTACCAACCCCAGATTAAAGCATAACAAACCACAACAAAATATATTGAACATGCTGGATTCAGAGGAGGCAGCAGGCCATGTTCAGCCTTGAAGTCCCTTTTTGCCAAAAATTTCCCAATATTGCAGTGCCAAAAAATCAGTGGCAAAGTGTCAGAATTTTTGTCATGGTTTTCTTCTAATTGGAATGGGAAACTAATAAAAAATAAGTGTGTTAAGTCTCTGATAGATTTATTTTAGCTCTAAAACTCTAAAACAACGTCTCCAGCCCTCACTCTTATCAAGTGAAAAAATGGCTCAGAAATTCTGTTCCTCCTTTATCCAAGGATGTCACCACCCGGCAACCACAAAAATAGTGATGTTTAGAAGTACCGCCTCCAGTGACACTAAGTTTCCTATGGCTGGTCTAGGAATGGTAGGGTGGGGAGAGAAGTGTCCTTCCTGAAACTTCTTTGGATTGTGCAATTTTGTCCTGCTTTCACTAGATACTGAGTGTTAAGGACCTGATCAGGCTAATGTCCTCTTCCTTCCCCTTCCTTCTGGTTCCTTTTTTCCTTCAGCTTGCCTCTCAGTAAATCATGTATCTTTCACAGGTCATGGTCAAACATACATACTATACTTTGAGGTATCTTAAAAGTCCCAAACTATTTAGGAACCATTCCATCTTTTCTAGATTACTATATTCCAAATGAATCATCCAGAGTTTAAAGTTAAAAGAAAGATTTAAAAGATATATGTCCTTTTTTTTTTTTTTTGAGGCCTTTGAGTGACATCCCAGGAATGAAGTGCCCCGCTCCAAAATATGGGCAAGATTAAGACAAAAATGCATTCAACTTATAGGTAGTCCTCACTTAATGTCCATTTGTTCAGTGACCGTTCAAAGTTACAATGGTGCTTTACAACCGCATCGCTTAGCGACAGCAATCCCAGTCCCAATTCCTATCCTAACTCGAGGACTACCTGTATATAATAATAAATACAGTTTATATGATGACTCCCCTTGTATTTAATCACTTTGTACTTCTCTCAAATTAAAAACTAAAATTTAATGGCAACTTTTTGAGAGCTCTGGGCCACATATAGCCCTGGCATCTCAGATGGTACAACTCTGTTTAAAGCAGTGTTGTCCAAACTCGGCCACTTTAAGATGAGTGGCTGGGGAATTCTGGGAGGTGAAGTCCATTCATCTTAAAGTGGCCAAGTTTGGACAGCACTGGTTCAAAGCTATCACACCTTTCACGAGGCTGCTTTTCGCCTCCCTTTCTGTTCACAGGACCACCTGATGTTCCCCCGCATGCTGATGAAGCTGGTGAGCCTGCGGACTTTGAGCAGTGTGCACTCAGAGCAGGTCTTTGCTTTGCGCCTTCAAGATAAGAAGCTTCCGCCACTTCTGTCTGAGATCTGGGATGTACATGAATAGACATTTTGAATGGACTGGGGAAGAGGTAGACCCTCCCTCATATACCTCTCTCCCAGCAGCGCCAGCAGACATGCTTCCCCATAGTGAGTCTTTGGACTCAGCATAAGCCTTACAATGGCTGGACTGGGATCCTGCCAAAAGAATTGAGTCAAGTGAGTTACTAAGCACTTTTTTTTTCTCCTCCTCCCCATCTACTCATCATCTTTTTTCCACTACTTCAGATTTGGTGGAGGGGGAGAGGTCAGTCACCACCTTCCTTTTAAGTGGGAAGAGGGAGAAGGTAGAAAGAAATTTCTCCCCAAAGACTGTATTCCCTCCTGTTTGTGAAAGGCAAACAGCTATGCCCTGCACCACACTCTGCTTTGACAGCCTACAACTGTTTCTCCCTAGGGAGGGAAAGAGTATCGCAGTGAAAAATAAGAGAGGGGTTGCCATATACCTGGTGTGTGGGGCAGATACCCAGAAGAAATAAACTCGTCATGAAAATGAAGCGTCTGGACTGGTCTCCTGATACCCCTATATGAGAAATATTCCCTTGTAGATATTGTAATAATGCTGGGGGAGGTGGTGAAAAAAAAATGCCAGAGTCTTGTCAGAAGAGAAAGGAAGGGGAGTTATTAAAAATATTTGGCTGAGTTCATTCATCACTCATAAGCTGTGGACTGTGGTTTATACACACCCTACCATGGCTGGTTCCATGCCATACGCTATGCACTAAAGCAGGGGTGAGTCACTGAAACATTCTAGTGGCAGCAAAATTACGATTTTTAACCATGTAATTTGTATTTTTTATAAATTCAAGGTAATATGAATGCATGAAACATGGCTTAACCCTCCAGTCCTGTCCTCCATACCCTTTGCAGCCCTATAAGGCCAAAGCAATTACAGGTAGTCTGCGCTTACTGATTGCCTTATGCAGCGACTGTGTGCTAAAAAAATAACTTTGCAACCCATCCTCACATTTATGACTGTTGCAGTGTCCCGCAGTCATGTGATCGCCATTCGCATGCTTCGCAAGTGGCATGCATTTTCGCTTGCGACAAGCAGAGTTAATAGTGTACACTATGGAAGGCAGAAGTAAAATAGTAAGTCACAGTCACATGATTTTTCACTTAGCGACCGCATCACTTCGCTTTAACGACTGAAGGGGAAGTAAGTCCCAGTTGCAGTCACATGATTATTCGCTTAGCGACCACGTTGCTGGTCCCAATTGTGGTTGGTAAGCAAGGACTACCTGTAGAAGAAAAAGGTGTAGTCCCCAGTTAAAACATAATTGCCCATCGTTATTAATAGTGTTTTATTACATTTACAATTATGAGTTCACAAAACATACTACTGCCAAAACAAGTCATTTCACATTGTGCATTTAATGCCACACATGAACTGAATTTTTGAGTTTTGTATTCTGAGGGGAGCCGAGAACTAGCATTCTTGGAGGTATGTGTGTATTTCACATTGTGGCCAAAGTGGCCTTTCCCAACCTGGTGCCCTCAGTATGGATTAAGCTATCAAAAGGTTTTGGCCATTACGGACTACAGAGACTTAAGTTCCAATTCATATTTAGGGAGCGGCTTTGGGTCAGATATGATCTCAGCCTAGTCTACAGCCAGGTTCATTGTGATGATACAATAAATGGAGGAGAAAGTCATGCACAGTGCCTTGGTTCCCTGAAGGAAGGGCAGGGTACATAAAGGAGATTCTGAATTCGTTTCCCCAAAAAACAGTTTTAATATCACAGGGTTGGTTGTTTATCGAAATGTCCATGGAGCTAGACACCAGGCTGGTATCCACTATATGCAACTATGTTAGTGTGCTTCAAGTCCTGTCAATTAAACAATGCCATTTATCCAGACCCAGGAAGTATGCCTTCCCAGTCATGATGCCTGCGCTCTGGAATAGTATCTCCTGCAAGATTCGCAGTGGCTGTCATCCTGATGGTGTTCCTGAAGTCTTTAAAAACCAGACTGTTCTCCTAGGCCTTGGGGTAGGGTGACTGGGGAGCCCTGTTCATCGGTTTTTCCCAGACATACGTAGTCTCTTCTGCTTTACGTTGCTTTTACTCTTCTAAAATGTAAACTCGAGTCAGGTGGCCTTTAAATCTAATCAAAGAAATAAACAACAATTCCCAGATCCTCAGTTGTAGTCTAATGCCTATGGTGAATGTCAGGTTGAGTAAGAATGGTCCAGAATATTATATTGCCCAATGCTGCCTTTAAGTCTGCTGGCCTGGAACTTCCCATCTGGCAATCAGGAAAACCCCAGCCTTGTCAGGAAAATGGGGGTTTCCTCCTCACGGCTTTAAGACTGGCCACTAGAGGTCATACAAACCCCACAGCTTCTAACTATACATTTCTAACTCTGGTAAGGCTGAAGCCACTGGGTTTCCCCCTTCAACTTCATAATTACGTAGAGGCACTTCATTAGCACAATGCCCAAATAAATGGGAAAGAAATACCCCAGAATTTCAAACAGGGAAACTCTGTCCCTTTTCTTTATAAAGTACAGTACTCAAACAACTTGGCTTCTGTTCAAGTGTTTTATGCAAATAAATACAACTTTTTATAGAGTTAGTCAATGATAATCTTTTCTTTTGGGCCAACTATTTAATTTTTGCAGAATCATCATTTGACAACTATTTGAGGTACACAGGCTGTGTTCACACAACACACACTTAGCTAGGTCAGTTAAAGCCCTAAGGCAGTGTTAGCAACTTTAAGATATGTGGACTTCAACTCCCAGAATTCCCCAGCCAGCTTTCATTTCCACAACACAAAGTATAAAGCTTGTCTAGTTTTAAACATATAGCTCCATGAATCGTGCAAAATGGCTTAATTCATTAGCCAGGTTAAGCATGTCTGAATATAGGGAATAGGCTATCCAAAGCAGGAATATAGCAATTTAGAATATAAATATTTTTCTTTATAAATACTGAAAATGTTTCCAGCGTTGCCTTTGTCTTTTAGACCAGGTTGAGCAATCAACTGTCTGCAGGCCACTTATGGTCTTACTGTCATTTTTTCTGCAACCCCCAAGAGCCTGCCAAGACTCTTCCTGCTGCTGAAATTCAGTAGGAAACCACCAAAAGACAATGGGCTGATTTCTTTCAAAATGAGAATTGTAACAGGTGCGATGTCTTCAACAGACTTAGTAGACCCACTGAAGGCCCCCCAAATGGGAAAACTGGCCCCAACCCTTCCCGTGATGTCATCACCACATCCCTGTTAATGTTTTCCCCCTGAAAAAAAGTTTAAAAATCACAGCAAAAGCTTTTCTCCCCACTGTAGCAGGAGAAAGCCCCACTGTCAGGACCCTTCTTCTGGAGGGAGGCAGTAGGACAATGTTTGTTTGTTTATGTAATCAACTTCTAAGGCTGCCAATTATTCTGGGCAACTTCCAAAGAGTTAAAAAAAAAATCAATTAGAAAGTCTTAACTGCCTTCCTAAAAGCCAACAGGCTTGGGGCCATATGGATTTTGAGAGAGGAAGCTCCATCCAAAGTACAGCTCAGTGTTCAAAACGATCAGATTGATTAATATTTTTCATCTGAGACAGTAAAACTAATCCATTAAAATAGATTCCCAAAAGGTATTTCAGTGTTTCCATTTACTGAACCATTGTACTTGTCACAGAATATAAATCGTAAGATTGGAAGGGAGTCTTCTAGTCCAACCCTCGGCCCAGGGCAGGAATCCTCAGACTATCCCAGTCAAATTGCTGCTCAACCTTTGCTTGAAAATTTCCAGTGTTGGGAAACCCATAACTCCAGGAGGCAGATGGTTTCACTGCTTAACAGCCTTCACAGTCACAACATTCTTCCTTATTTTAGGTTTGACTTTCCCTCCATAAATCTTCCATGCATTGTTTCTTGATCAGTCCTTGAGCACTATGGTGAATAAATCCACATCCTCTTCCCTGTGATGTCCTTCAAGTATTGAAAAACTGCTATCGTGTGTCTCCTTAGCTTTCTCTTCTTTAAGCTAAACAATACCCAATTCTTTTCACCACTCTTCCTAGGTTTTAGCCTCCAAGCCTCTCACTATCTTTGTCGCTGTTCTCTGCACTCTTGCCATTCCACGGCATCCTTCTTGTACTGGTGCAACCCAAAGGGACCCAGTATTTCAGGTGAGGTCTGACCAGTGCAGTATAGAATGGAATTAATGCTTCCAGTGACACTGTACTTCTGTTGATGCAGCCCAAGATTGTACTGGCTCTTCTGGCAACTACAGCACACTGCTGGCTGATGGCTAATATGCAATCTACAAGGATGCCCTGATCCCATGCTCACAAGTACTAGTGCTGAACCAGGTATTGCCTATCTTGCACCTATGCATTTGATATTTCCTACTTAAGGGCAAAACCTTACCTTTCTCACCAATGAGAACAGCTGTATACAGTTACTCCTCAATTTATGACCAGTTATTCAGCAACTGTTCGAAGTTACAACAGCACTGAATGAATAGTGTTTATGACTGGTCCTTGGAGTTCCAGCTGTCCCAGCACCCTCACGGTCATGTGATTGCAATCTGGGTACTTGGCAACCTGTTCACACTTACCACTGGTTGCCAAGCACCCCATGATCAAAGGATTGCCATTTGCAACCTTCCGTGCTGGCTTCCCCATAAAGTCAAAGGGGAAGCCGGCAGGGAAGATCACAGGTTGCTGGGGTAAGTCTCCCGCACACGCGCACCCTCCCCCAGCCTCTCTGGGCTCATGCCACACTAGCCACTCACGCACCACCATGCACCCACCCTGACCTGTGCTGAACCCTCACACACCCTCCCCAACCCACGCGGCACCTCTCGCACCCCCCCCATCCCCTCCCTGATCTGTGCGGTGCCTCTTGCACACCCCTTTGCACTGTCATGCGCCCTCGTGCTCCCTCCTTGTGCCACACCTCTCACGCATTTTTCAAAAAAAAATTAATACAAATAATTGTCTGGCATGACCTATTTCGAACAAACCATGCTGGCTTCTAGTAATCACCTTGTTCCTTTCTAAGTGCTTGCAAACCCACTGCTTGATTATCTTTTCCAAGATTTCCCCAAGCATTCGGTGGATAAAAAGCAATGAAGAAAATGAAGTACGTTGACATAGGATGCTCTGTGTTGACAGGGACACATTCAAGTTAATCTGCTATTTCTGGGTCTTCCAAAATCTTCAAAACGGGCTGGCCACTGCTACAGTTATCTCGATCTTGTACCAGGAAACTTGCTATGATAAGAAGTGCCACTATGGTGACAGCCTTTAGATGGAATAAAGTAAAATGTTATTTCTGAGATATGTCCAAGGAACCGCTCGGTCTCCCTGAACCTAAACCCTCAATTTTGGTTCAAACAGGTCTTATAATTATAGTAGGCCTGGAGTTGGGAGAGTTAATCCTCTCATGCTGGTTTCAGTGAAAGCGGAAAGATGATTGTATTAACTAACACTCAAAACCTACCAAAAAAACTACCCACATCCACTTTCCTATTTCTCATCTTGCTGTGGGCTGGCAAACCTTTCAACCAATGAACTTGTGGGAATCTATTTTTGAAAAACCTGTTTTAAAAATGAGAAGATGAAACAGTAGGTTTCTAGATGATCCAGATTTGATGATAAGCTTAAGGATTGAAATAATTTTACATTGATACCAATATATATTATATGGATCTTTTCTTTCTTTTTCCTGTCAATTAGCTCTTTGGCTAGTTTATTTTAATCACCATAACATATCCGGGGGTGGATTTGTTTCACTGTATAACTGCTATTTATCTTTTTTTTTTTCTGTGATGCTGTACTTTTCTGTATGTTACTACTTAAATACAGAAAATAAATGACTAACTTGTGGGAATGAAGTGCAACTATCTACTTCTTCCACTTCAGAAAACAAGTAGGCAGAATGAGGGGGAAAAAATGGGATAAACTGCAGGCGTAGACATTGGTGGCCATGTTCAGTAAACCTGAATGACAAAGAGGTCATTCAGAGCAACAACGGATGATAAGCCAATCTTTCCAGCTTTGTGATGTTAACTAAGAGAGCTTCCTGATACCTTTACAACTAACAGACTTATTGTGGCCTAAGTGTTGATTCAGTTATCAGATGCATGAAGAGTTACCCTCAGGGGGTAGAAAAATAAGATAAAGTAAGACTATACAAAAATAGCCTGGGGATGGTAAAGAATGGGGACAATAGTGTGGGAAGAGCAACAATCTGTGATAGGTTTTCCTAAGCTGATGTCCTCTACAGCCAACTCCACGCTCTCCAGCACTGCTGATGTTACCTAGTCGGGTAATGAAACGTCTGCAAGCAAACAACCAAGCTGAGAGAGCACCAAGGACTCCACAGTTCAGCCATGAGCTACACATATTCTCTTCTATTGATGTCCTCTATTTTTGCACCTGGCTTTAGTTAGTAGATTTCAGAGATCTTGTGAAAAATGAAACAGATTTCACAGTCCTCATTATTCCGTTCGTTTATTTATATATTTGACAATATTGAGATCCCACCCCAATACACAGACTCTGGGCAGAATACAAAACAGAACTGGATCCTAATTAATTTCCACCCACATTAAAAGAGCATTACAACATTGGATGGAATGGGTTTAGGTGCTTTCCAAAACATCAGAAGAGTAGGGGGGCAAGTATACCTCCAGGGGCAATGTATTCCACAATACAGGGCTACAGCTGGAAGTATGTACCTTCTGGTCCACCATCAGCCCTCTTACTTCACATGAAACAGGACCTTCAGCAGACCCTCTCTAGATATCCACACCAGACAGGCAGAATCCCACTTAGTAAGGCAGTACCAGGCACCATGCCTTACAGGACTTTATAGAGTATAACCAGCTCTTTCAGTTGGGGCTGGAAACTTACTCTTTCAAATGGGTTGCAGCCACCTGCCATTTTTATTTTCTAAGAATTCTTACGGGGAGTATGTGAGGCTTAGAGTCATTCTTGTAACTGAAGATGATTCCTGCTAGAGGTTGGTGCTTTATATTACAGAATATCAGGTCCTTAACTGTTAGGTCAGTTAAGGTGAGGAATCTGATGGGTATTGCAAAGGGAATCTTCACACACAACCTTGTTCTAGTCAAAGCTTGAATTAATTTTGAGCACAGATGTGCCTTCATTACAAATTATATTTTGTCCTACCAATTTAATAGTCACAGTGGGAGAGGAAGCCAGACACTGTCTTAAGAAACCACTGGCCAAATTCCTGGATGTTATATAGAAGGAGTGAATAGGAGGTAGACTGGAAACTACTGGCTTATAATTAACTGAGTCATATTTGTAGTAAGCAGCAAGAGATTTTGACCCTGATCATTTTAGCAATCATGCTGAAATTTAAAAAGTTTGGGGAAGAAAAAAAAGAGAGTTGATTTGTGCATGAGCTCTCTAATACAGTACTGAAAAACGAATTTCAGAAGAGGAGCAGCACTTTGTTCTGCAATCCAATGCCCACCATCCTACCTTTCTATTTTTGCACCTGGCTTCAGTTAGTAGATTTCAGAGACCTTGTGAAAAATGAAACAGATTTCATAGTCCTCAATTTCCTACTCATGGGTTAAGAAAAACAACTTTCCTTTAGATTAGACAGGTTATAGAGGAAGATGCTATGAACACAGAGAAAACAAGGAGAAAGAAACCAACCAAAAAACCCTGCTAGGAGGAAAGGTGTGTGATATGTGGGAGTCAAAAGAAAGACCTGGTCCAAGGGCTGGCAAAACAGGTAGATATTTGCAGATGACTGAGATCTATTAGAAAAAAGGGTTTGCTTGACTAGGAAGAACGGCATAATATAAATCTAGTTAGGGAAAGCCCATGTCTTTGTCACGCAGCCAACTGAACTCACCTCCATCCGTAGCTAACAGAAAGCTGCAATTGTTCCAAAGGCTGAGGAGAGAGAAACAACATGAAAATTATGGAACATTTTATCTTAAGGGTTAGCCCTCATCTACTATTTTTCCTTGTGACAACAAAAACAAACACCCACTCAAGAACTTCCTTCTACATTTGCAAATCTGTTCATGCTTAACTTGGAATATTTTCCTGGTGAGATTTTTATTGTGCAATCACTCTACCTCAGCCATTTACAAATATTTTACACTCTGGGAGTCAGATGACATCACCTTTCATTTGGAATTCTCCTGTTTCCCCAAAACTTCTATTTTTTTTCTTTTAAACTGGGGAAAGCCTTAAAGTGGGAAAAGTGGAATAGTGATATGGCATCTTCCAAATGTTGGTGCTCAGAACACTCTGGTTGGAAGCATCCATGGAGCAAGCTGTTTTGAGTGTGCAGGGAACTACACTGCAAATCAACTGGACTGCACTGCAAATGTTACAGCAGAGCACTCTTTTAACTTCACATCTGTGGCTACAGTTATCCAGAGCTAATACAGCTAGAGTGATGAAAGTTGCAGTCAAATACATCTAGATAGTGAGGAAGGCTGTGAGACCCTAACACAGCCTTCCCCACTATCTAGATGCATTTGACTACAACTTTCGTCACTCTAGTTCTACTACCTCTGGTGACTGGAGTTGTAGCCACATATTTTTATGTATTTTTCCTGCTGGACCATGATGGTTACCTACATTTTTTAACATACCCATACAGATTAGCTGGGATAGGCAGACATGATGGGATAAGTGAGATCCAAGCTAATCTGTATGGGTATGTCAAAAAAATGTAGGTAACCATAGTGGCCTAGCAGGAAAAATATGTAACAATAGGATAAGAGCTTTATTAAAACAGGTAGGGGAAGAGAAAATAGTTGCTTACATGTTTTTGGTTGTATTACAATAAAAAATATGTTGCTTATTTATGGAATTTTGACTGGTCAAAAAAGAGAGAGAGAGAGAAAAGATAAAAACTAACAAACTAATAGAAAGAAGAAAGAAGAAATCAAAGAAAGAGCTAAAAGTGCAAAAGCAAAGATAAAAAAAGGATACAAAGAAATAGTTTCCAATTTTCTTTACAGCAGTTATAAGTACAACTATAAATTTACCTCTTGCAAAATAACTCTAAAAAAATCTATCCTGTCTAATCATCAGAACCATAATCATAAATTCCTTTTTAATCGTTTCACACAAAACGTTTATAAGAGGTTTCCAGTCAACAATAAACATAGATATTGTCTTTTCTCTGATCAAAGAAGTCAATTTGGCCATCTTGGCATCATCTTCACCAACCATTCCTCCATTGTGAGTAGTACCAAATCTTTCCATCTTTGTGCATACAATAATCTTGCTGCAGTTATCATGTATAAAAACAAAGTTCCATGACTTCTTTCCAACTGTTTGTCCATCAGTCCCCCCCAAAAAGCCTCCAGTTTCAATTATACATTAATCTTTAAAATCCTCTGAATAAGTGTATGTATTTGAATCCAAAACTTTCTGGCTTTTTTACACCTTCACCAAACATGATAAAATGTCACTTCTTGTTGTTCACATTTCCAACATTAATTTGAAGTTCTTTATACATTCTAGACAATTTCTCTGGTGACTTATACCAATGATACATCATTTTATAAAAATTCTCTTTAAGATTATAACATAATGTAAATTTCAATCCTTTCAACCACATGTTTTCCCATTGTTCCATTTGTATATTATACCCAATTTTTTTAGCCCACCATCATACATTCTTTCACTTCTTCTTCTGATTTAAATTTCAGTAAAAAGTTTATACATTTTAGCAATTACATGTTCATCATTTGTACCAAATTCTATTGAAAACTCAGTTTTAGATTATTCTAAACCATAAATTGTTTTGTCTACTTTAAATCTTTCTAATAATTGTAAATAAGAAAACCATTGATAAGTATATCCCACTGCCACCAGATCTTCTCTTGATTTTATTTTACATGCCCCTTGACAACATTCTAGTATCTCACAATAAGTTAACATTTGTGTTTACTTATTATTTCTTGACTATAAAATGCTTCTTGTGCTGAGAGCCACAAAGGTGTTTTGGGGCACAACCTGGGTTTATATCTATTCCATATTCTCAATATGGCCAAAAAAGTAATTCCTCTACAGGTAGTCCTCACTTAATGATCGCAGTTGGGAGCGGAAACTCCATTGCTAAGCGACATGGTTGTTAAGTAAAGCGTCATGTGACCGTGCCCAACTTACAACATCAGTTCTGCTGCGGTCATTAAGTGAATCACCCATGGTAGTTAAGCGCGACATCATGTGACTGCGACTTGCGATTTTACTGCTCGCTTCTCCATTGACTCTGCTTGTTGGATGCTGGCTGTGAAATGCCCCAGTGGTGATCACATGACCGTGGGGATGCTGTGATGGCTGTAAGTTCGAGGACTGATTGTAAAGCTACTTTTTCAGCACTATTGTAAATTTGAACAGTTGCTAAACAGGGCAGTTGTTAACCAAGGACCACTTGTACTGTTAAAAATCCATATGAATTAAAAAGTAACCTTGCAGTTGCAAGGGCCCTTGGAGACTATTGATTACAACCTGTTTGCTTAAAGTGGGTTCTAAAATACAGAATAGTGTTATAGCATTCTTGACAGATAGTTGTCTAGGTTTTGCTTAAACACCTGCAGTGAAGGTAAGCACATTGCTTTACTTCCCCTGGCAGCTTATCTGCTGAAAAACAACTCTCAATGCCTATTAATTCATCTTGTATTCTATCTGTTAATCCTCTCCTACTTTCCTAAGTACTGTACTTTCTCAAGCAGGGGATCCCCCACATCCCTACCTCTTCCTTGTCCAGCTCTACAAGCAGGGACTTTCCAAACCATTATTTCAATCCACTATATGGCCTTGAACAAAGTCAGTGTCAATGGCCCTATTGAAATTCCTAAACTCCAAAAGGGGCAATAGATCTCATCAGTAGAAGCCACTGAGGCTCCCTGGATTTGGTGACACATGAATGGGATTTAGTGGGTTATAATGGGATCCAAACTTGGAGCTAGAAGTGCTGGATTTTGGTTGAATGGATAGCTCCAAGTCTATTGATCTGTGTAAGACTTGCTCAACTTCTAATTTCAGCAACATGTAGCACAACACATCTGGAAGACATCAATACTACTGAAAACTATTCTAGGCACATCCCTCTTTTGGAATGAGCCAGGAGCTGGAATGCAAGAATCACAGGCTAAGAAACCAAACAAGGTAAATGTCATTGTTGTTCAGGAAAACTCCAGGTCTAATATAAATGACTTAAGGTCTTTCCAGGTCAGAGAAAATCAGTATTCTTTGGCACAGATTTCTGTGATCTGTGGGTCTCCAGTTGTTATGCTTCCTACCTAGGTTATATAATTTTCAGTGTAACTTGAAAATGCACTGCCCTCAGCAGTTTACTAGTGGGTTTGAAGGCCAGTGCAGAGCAGGAACCATGGAAGTGGAAGTGGGAAGTAAGAAGCAAAGATTCAGAAGGATGACTCAGAAGATTAGTTGTAGCTAGTCAGTAGGATACCTATTTAGTCATTAGTTAAAAAAAAAAAAGGCTCTGGCTTGAAGAATTAAACCTTGCAGATTTGCAAGAACTGAGATTTAGATATGCTTTGATGGGGGTCTTACTAAGTTATCTAAGGGGAAAATAGGACAAAAGACCTACACTTAACACTTAGTCTCCTAGCAGGGTAAGTATATGCATAGCTCAGAATTGGAAAACAATAAATAGAATAAATCACAGTCTGTCTTAGGAAAATATGGGAAAGAAGAGTCACCCTGCATGGAAATAGACTCCTTTGCATGACACAGAGGAATGATCACTTTTTCCTTTGTTCCATATGGAAAATACCTTGACAGGAAGCTGGGTACAGATGCCATAGTATCTATATACAATCTGCAAGCTTTAGATTCCCTACTCCTAGCTTAGCATTACTTCCCAATGGATCCATGGCTTGTCCATCTTAGAAAAGACCAAAGTTAGAAGCCAAGAACAGATCCAAATTCCCAGCCCACAAATAATGCTAAACTAACCACAGTAGGCATTACCAAGGCTTGCTTAGCTACTGCTGTTAACAGAAAGTGCCAAGTGGGAAGAATCAAGCACTACATAGAAGTATACTGTTCAATCCTGATTAAGCCTGAGATCTGAAGAAATCTAGCTTTCCAGGCATAAAGAAGGACCTCCAAAGCAGAGCAAAATTCTTCAGCAGGCCCATATGGGAAGAAGCCATTCCTAACATATGCTTTCTAAAATCATCCAATATGCTACCCCTAGTGACTAGTCTACTAATATTATCATCCAATTGTTTTAAATGTTTGGCCAGGACAAAACTAAACAAGAGAAATATGATGTAAAAGCCTGAACTGTTCATAGTGTGAGCTCAAGGAAGTACAAAGGGATTTTAAGTATAAAAGAGCACAATAGATTAGGATCTCTTGGAGGCTTGATAACAGGTCAAGGGTGATAAGTGTGTAGGTGGCTGAAGGGCGAAATGCCAAACAAAAGGAAGACTGTTGAGAAATGCAAGTCTGAGGGACTTTCTATTCTCTGATCATATTTTAATCCTTCTTCAATAACAAACCGATCTTTTGTAAGCATGATATTGCCAATCCTTTTTTTACAAAGGATTTTGTTTCTCCAGAGATTGGGTGAACTGTTAGCATGGCATGCTGGACAGTGTTCCCAAGGCTTGCTACTTTGAGGCACAATTCCTGACCTGATACCCTTCCAGATGTTGTGGGCTACTGCTCCCATGAGCTTTAGTCAGCCTAGCTGTTGGTCATAATGCCTGGGGTGATGGAAACTGCAACCTGAAATATCTAAAGGATACATGGTTGGATATCTATCTAAAGAACATTCCCTTCTTCACCAGGAAATTAAACTTGGAAGTGTAATTCACTCTTCTAACCTGCAACCTGGGATTGGGAAAGAATGACAATCAATGGCACAAAGACCAACATTTCCAATCTTGAACATGAGAAGCCTTGATTGTTTGGACAAATAACGCTCTTCTTATTACTTTATTATTGTTATTATTACTATTATTACAGGTGAAACTCGAAAAATTAGAATATCGTGC